CAACATCTTTATTTGTTTGTGGTGCTGAGGATCGAACCCGGGCCACATGCATGCCAGGCAAGCGCTCTACAACTTGAGCCACATCCCCACCCCCACTATAGGTTCTTAAAGAATGACCAAGGTACAGCTACACATGGCATGCCTGAGCAGCACTTAGGCTGTGAAGACACAGGGAGGCTAGTATTGAATCTCCACCCAACTGCAATCTGCTCACATCTGTGGACCCAGGGGCTGACCCCTTAACTCTACTTGGGCTCTCTGAATATCTAAGGAAGGGGCTAGAAATAAAAAGGCTGCAAAATATCCTATTAAATCCAGATAGTGGCAGGGTCTCCAGGCCTTTGCAGCAGAGAGCCTGGCCTCTCTCTTTTGCAGAACTCTGGACAATGACCCCTTCCATGACTGTCTCACACCCTCCAATAGGGAAGAAGAGGGAGTCAGAGAACTTGGCCTCTTGTCTTTGTCACCTGAGTTAAGAAAACAAATCTGTCCTGGGTATCATGTAAGGGTCCTGCCTGCTGCCTATTTTGTCAATAAAGCCCTATGGGCGTGGAATGTAGCTCACTCATTCATGTGCTTGCTCTCACAAGCCACAGCAGAGGTAAGTTGTTGCAACAGAAACCATAATAACCTTGCGTGACGAAATAAAAACTGGGTCTCCATAGGAACAGAACTGGAATGGCCAGACCTGCATCATGGTCTAACATGCCCTTCCATCCTTCACAGGTATTCTTCAGTCACACCTGAACCTGCCTTGGCACCTACCTACTTCTTGGAAAACCCCCACAACAGAGCCAGCCGCTCTGGTCAAGGCTCATGTGCTAGGAGCATGGCTGTCTTCTTGGCTCCCAGGAAAGCACAGGCCTTAGGCTGGAGGATCCAATGTGGAAAGTACCAAAAGGATGGGACTCTTTCTAGGGTGAGGCAAAAACAGCCTGCATGAATGTGTTGGGGTGATGACCAGGTCAGCCAGGTGCCCCATAGGCCAGTCTCAACAGACCAACAAGTTTGCTCTGCCTGGAAACTCAAGTTTCTAGCACTTCCTGAACACCATGAGCAATGCCCCAGCAGCTACCTTGGGCTCTGGGCTGGACTGGAAATAGCCCACTAAATCTGAATCTGACATCTTTATTCCTCCTCAAAGACTGGATGGTACTATCACCTCTCTCCCCCAGGCCCCAGTGTCAGAGCCATAAGTGCCAGGCCCCATCATTGCAATAACCTTGACAAAAATTTTCTCCCTTAGCAAACTCCTGCCAGGCTCCTCTGAACCATCATATTGGCCCATGCAGATGTGAACAAACCTGAACATAGTTTCTAACAGCTCATGGTCATGTCCCTAGGATGATTCTAGGCCTCCTCAAAGTAAATGCCTGAGAAAAGGTTGCCAACACATAAGCAGTCTATTGTAGCCAACACCTGAAAACAGAGCCCCCTGTTTCCCAGCTTCTGTGGGAGTGTAGGAATCTTTCTTTCTTTTTTTTTTTTTTTGTTGTTGCATTATGATTTAATCTAATTGCACAAAAAATTTGAAGTTACAACTCCTCCAGATTCCTAAGAGGAAGGTTATGCATGCCTCCATATTCAATTCTGCACTGTTACATTTGAACCATATTGTGAATTTTACATCATAATGGATCAGTTTGGAATTTCCATGCAACACTTCAAATTATAAAATGGAAGCAAATTTTAAAACTTTGTGGAAGTTTTCATGCTAACGATAAAAGCCATTTTTATGGGCAACTTACTTCAGATACAATATGCTGCTTATTTTAAAATGTTAGTCACCAAATATCATGGACCCTGAACTGGCTTCAACTCCCAAAATATGCTTAAGTACTAACAATAAGGTGACAACCAAAAATTCCCTTCACTTCAAAAGACTATTCCATAGTGCCTCTTATAAAATAAGAACTGTGTTTCTTATAAAATAAGAACTGTGCAATCAACTGCTTTCTATGGGATAAGAACAATGGTAACAGTGGGTTCAACTGACTATTATACAATTATGCTAATATTTTATTAATTCAAAAGCACTTTACAAGAAAATATAAGTATGGCTTCCAATAGGAATGTTATACCTGGACTTGGTACCAAGCTCAGATTTGAGTTTGCAAGGAAAAACAGGCTTTCAAGTTAAACAACAATTTGTAACCAAAACTTTAATCCCAAGGATTCTCACAAAACATATTACAAATGACAGCATGGAAAAAAAAATATCTTGCACAGTAACTCAAAAAAGTTCAGCTCTACAATGTACCCTTAAACTGGCAGGACATTGGTATTTTAAAACCTCAAATTTACAAATAATGAACGTTACAAATAGCTATGCATTCACATATAGCAATCACATAAGAACTTATGACCTAAGCAAAGGTAAATTTTCTTGAAACTTATCAGATTCTATACCAGTTAGGCAACCTCTGCCCAGGGGTGAAGACTAGTTGGATTTTACAAAACCTCTAGTTTAATAGTGCTGATTTTATCATCTTTACCTGCTTGCCTGTGTTCACAGCTGCTTTTAAAGACTGCTTATTCATCTACACCTGTGTATTATACTTCAGCTATGAAAAAAGGGAAATCTGATTTTTTTTTTGCCAGTTTTGTTCCTATAACATTAGAACATCACACTTTAGCTGGGCAGGATTTAGAGGTTTATTTTCAGTCTATTCAAGACTAAAGTTCAAAGCAAATTCAATTTTGCTTAAGGGAACATTGTAAAGTAACAATTATTGGTATTACATGCCTCATATGATCCATTTCAAACCATAGAGAATTACATCATATGTGTCACTGTTCCAAGAGACAAATAAATTTGAACAGCTAAAACATCTTAAAAATGCACCAAGCTTATGAAGTCTCAAACAAAACTTGAATTTTCTGTACACACTCCTGTCAAATGAAGTTATTTCCTGTACACCACTTCTCTTGCAAACTGGTCTTCTATTTCCTTTCATTTGACCTAGATCGGCTCCGAGACCTAGAGAAGGATCGGGACGGCTTGTGATTTCTCTCCCGAGGCAGTGATCTCTCTCTTCTCCTATCTCTAGAAAGGGACCTGCTCCGGCTGCAAGAGAAGCTTCTCCTTCTTGGAGATCTGTGGCGAGGTGGAGGACTCCTCCTACGATAATCATCTCGAGGACGACGACCCCAAGACGGAGGTGGGCTTCTTTTTTCACCATTCGAGAGTTCCACTCTTACACGGCAGCCACAAAGTGTTCTTCCATCTAGTTCTCGGACAGCATCAGCTGCATCTCGGGGATCTTCAAATTCAACAAAAGCAAAGCCAGGAGGGTTTCTAGCAACCCACACACTTCGGAGTGGTCCATAGTAGCCAAAAGCCCGTTCCAATTCAGTCTTGTTGCCATTGTTTCCAAGATTACCTACATAAACCTTACAGTCCAATGGACAAGAATCACGATGCATTTCGAGATCGTGGGTTAGAAATGCGAAGGCTCAAATCCACACAATCGGATGGATCTTCCCGCTCCTACTCCGGCTCAGCGTCCACAGATGCGCTCTCTCACCCGGCGTCCACGAAATGGCCTAGGAATCTTTCTTTTTCTTGTCTTTTTATTTATGTTCTTTGCAATGATGGGGATTTAACCCAGGGCCTCACAAATGCTAAGCAAGCACTCTACCACTTAGCTACACCCCCACCCAGGAGTGTAACTTCATAAACTAGAGTAGCAAACCCAGATGTGTTTTCCATGGACCAACAAAAAATAAAATAAACCCTTTTTTTTTCTTTTCTCTATTGTGTGTGTGTGTGTGTGTGTGTGTGTGTGGTGTTGGGGATTGTTATGATTTGGATGCGAGGTGTCCCCCAAAAGCTCATACGTGAGAAAAAATGCAAGAAGGTTTAGAGGAGAAATATTAGGCTATGAGAGCCTTAACCCAATCCCTGAGGGGATTAATTGAGCAGTAATTGAAGGTGGGTAGAGTATGGCTGAAGGAGGTGGGTCATTGGGGGCATGCCTTTGGAGTATATATTTTATATCTGGTGAATAGATTCTCTCTTGGCTTCCTAATCATCATGCATGTCGCTTCCCTCTGCCAAACTCTTCCGCTATGTTGTTCTGCCTCACCTCAAGCCCAAGGAATGAAGTCAGCCTTCTATGAATTGAGACCTCTGAAAACTTTTCCTCCTCTAAAGTTGTTTTCGTCAGGTCTTTTAGTCACAGCAGCAAAAAAAGCTGACTAAAACAGGGAATGAAATTAGGGGTGCTCTACCACTGAGCTATACCTCCAGCCCTTTTTTATTTTTAGACAGGGTCTCATAAATTGCCCAGGCTGGCCTCAAATTTGTAATCTTTGTGCCTCAGCCTCCTGAGTGGCTGGGATTACAACTGTTTGCCATGGTGCTCAATCATCCTTCCGTTCTTTAGTCGATTTCTACTTTTGTTCAAGCCCCTCACATTCCTCCTTTCTACTCCTTAAATCTCTCTTTAAAATGCTAGTTGCTTCTGCCAGGGTCAGAATGAAGCCTAGCTCTTTCCCCTACCATTAGTAGTCACCAAATACTTTCTGTCCTTACCTCTTCAACCAGAATCAGGACTCTGATCTAGATCAGGACCACTGGACTGTCAGAGCATGCTCAAAAACTTATGTACCACCTCAGGTTTGCTTGCTCAATTGGGCAGTCCATGGTGAGGTCCCCCTCCTAGTCCAAGGTGCCAAACAAATGTCTGATGCCATATGGCTGAGAACAACTGCCCTTCTTATTAATTTATTTTGGTACCAAGGATTGAACCCAGGGGCACATTACCACTTAGCCACACCCCCAGCATTTTTTATTTTAAGACAGGGTCTCACTAAGTCGTTTATGGCCCTGCCAAATTACTGAGGCTGGCCTTGGATTTGCAATTCTCCTGCCTCAGTCTCCCAAACCGCTGGGATTACAGGTGTGCGCCACTTCTGCAACTACTTTTTGCTAAGCACTGGGGCTGAAAATGCTCTTGGTTTCAAGTGCTAATTTACCCAGGGCTGGAAGATCCTCCCTCCCCCATCCTTGGAAGCATTTCTTACTACTCCTCCCATGGGAACTTCCTGGCTGACTAAACACTCCTACTTGAGCCTCTGTATGTTCTGTCACTACTTCTAATCAATATATGAAAATAAAAAATAAAACTACCAGAAATAATCTCTCTTCTTCTTGCTGACATCACTACCAAGGTTAATCTGGAACATCAATGGCTTTTTGGGGAAACAAGATCTCCCCTAACTGTCTCCTCTTTTCTGTTAACCCTGCTCCTCCTGTTCCTCTTTTTCAGAGGGAGTGGTTGGGAATTGAACCAAGGGTCTCATTCATGCTCTACCACGGAACTACATCCCCAGCTCTCTCCTTCCTCCTCCTACCACCTTCTATCTTCCTTTTGGCTTCCTTACATCATTTGATATATCCTTTTTCAAGCCCCCATCTCTTGTACCCCTCTGTTCTAATCTTTCATTTCCCATTCCAGTTCCTCAACTCTGGATACTCCCTGAAACTTTAGGCCCCTTTCTCCAACAGTGGCTCTCAAGGAACACAGGGTTCCCCAAAAGCAACCACTTGAAGCTGAACAAGAAAAAACACTCCCTGGAAGGGTAGAGGTGTAATTCAGTAGTAGATTGCATGCTTAGCATGCCTGGGTTCAATCCCTAGCACCAAAAAAACAAAATTGAAAAACTAATTAGAAATAGATATTTAGACCATGGCTTCCATAAGGTTATATATCAGGGCAAAGAAAGTTTTTCTCTATAAATACTGGTGGAAGGCTTTAGCCTCACATTAAGCAGATAACCCCTAATTTATTCCATCTGTCAGAAACATATGACCAGGCACAGAGGCACATGCCTATAATCTCAGTGACTTGGGAAGCTAAAGCAAGAGAATCCCAAGTTCGAGGCCAGCCTCAGCAACTTAGTGAGACCCTGTCTCAAAATAAAAAATAAAAAAGTTTGGGGATTGTTGAGAGCCACAGCCCAAGGGGCCCCAGCAAACTTCCAGCTGCCAGCTTATGATTGGCTTACAGGGGCCCCAGCAAACTTCTAGCTGCCAACTGATTGGCTCCTCTATGGTGATGCTCATTGGGTTGTTTCCCCGCCCTTTCAGACCAAGGAGCTACTCATTGGGGGACTTTTTTGGCTCCGCCCATGCGACCCAGCCAATGGGCCTCAAGAGCAGAAGGAGTGGGGGAAGTGGAGAGGCTTGTGGGAAGCCTGTGGTGGCAGTTGGGCTCTGAAGGTTTTCCTGGAGAGCTCTGGTGGTTTGGCATGTGTTCTAAAAATAAAGTTCGTTTCTTTTGACAAGTGGCTCCTGAATTGTGCCCAGCCAGACTGTGGCAGGGGATGCAGCTCAGTGGCAAAGCACATCTAAGTTCAACACTTATTATGCCTCCCCCCACAAAAAAAGTCAAAATAAAAGTATAAATTGGAGGAGAGAGAACAATTTTTCACATAAATTCTTGATTTCATGTTTTGTAAATTGTGTTTTATATCTGCCTAAAAGTTTCCAAAATCTTTTTTATAACTTATAAACTTAGCATTATACTAAAATAGTTACATAGTAGATACTCATTGAATAGCTAATTTCTTTCTTTTTTATTTGGTGCTGGGAATTTTTTTTTATTGGTTGCTCAAAAACGTTACAATGCTCTTGACATATCATAATTCATACATTTTGGTGCTGGGAATTAATCCAGAGCTTCCTGCAAGCTAAGCACTTGCTCCACTACTGAGTTATACCTCCACTGCCTAAATAATTTCTTTTATTTATTTATTTATTGGTGGTACTAGAGATTGAACCCAGGGACATTCTTCCACTGAGCTACTGTGCTACACCCCAAGCCCTTTTTGTTTTTTTAAATTTTGAGACAGGGTATCACTAAACTGCTGAGGATGGCCTTGAACTTACAATCTTCCTGCCTCAGCCTCCCAAGTCACTGGGATTACAGGCATGTGCCATTGCACTCAGCCCTAAATAATTTTTTTTAATTGTAATATTTATTTTTTAGTTTTCGGCGGACACAACATCTTTGTTTGTATGTGGTGCTGAGGATCGAACCCGGGCTGCACACATGCCAGGCAAGTGTGCTACCTACCGCCTGAGCCACATCCCCAGCCCCCTAAATAATTTTTAAAAGAAGAAAAAGCACTTCTGGGCACGGTGCAATGGCTGCCACCGGCTCCTTGGAGCTGGGACTGGCCGTTTGCCCAGTCCCTGTGGCTTGCGCTGCCTCTGCAGAGCCAAGGGTGCGGCGCGTGTGACCCAGAATCACAAGTGACCGAGGGGTGTGTTCCTGGGGATCCGGCTTTGAGGATGGTGCCTGAGAGGCGACAAGCCTGCCCGACCCAGGGGTCTCAGGAACCTGAAGCGAGAGGCAGCCACGGCGAGTTTGGGGTCTTAGGGCCTCGAGTTCTGGGATTCTGTCTGTGTCACCCAGGAAAGCTGTCATCTACGCCTGATGGTAGAACTTACTGCGCCACCACGCCCTCCGCATAACGTGCACGCCGTACACCGCCTAGCGCCACCCTGCCCTCCTGTATCTGTCTCTGCAGCCAGCCCGCGTGGGTGTTGAGGTGTCGCCAGAGCCCCAGGACACTAAACCAAGCCTTTCCTTTAAAACTTGTTGCAAGTCTAACCTCCTTGACAGCCTGTGCTTGAAATCCTGAAGGAATTGGACGAATTTTAAATGAGGGACAGATGGTGCCCAGAAATGCTGAGTGTTACACTGCATCCAGAGAGCCCTGATTTGGAGCCAGGAATTGGGCGATGTGAAGATTCAGATTGTGAGTCAGATGGTGGAGCTGGTGGAGAACCGGACAAGACAAGTGGATATCATGTGGAACTCTTTGAAACACATCAGGAAATCAATGACACCACTGGCAACAGCGGCAAAGCTGGCCAAGATAAGTCAAAGAATGAGACAATCACGAAGGCAGAAAAGCCAAATAACAAACGTCCCAGAGGCAGCGCAACAATAAGAATCGAGAAAATGCATCTAATAATCATGGCCATGATGACATCACCCATGACATTACCTCAGGAACACCCAAGGAGAAGAAAGCAAAAACCTCAAAGAAGAAAAAACGCTCTAAGGCCAAAGCAGAGAGGGAAGCATCCCCTGCAGACCTTCCCATCGACCCAAATGAGCCCACGTACTGTCTGTGCAATCAGGTCTCCTATGGAGAAATGATAGGTTGCGACAATGACGAGTGCCCCATGGGATGGTTCCACTTCTCATACGTGGGACTCAATCATAAACCAAAGGGCAAGTACTACTGTCCCAAGTGTTGGGGGAAAATGAGAAAACAATGGACAAAGCCTTGGAGAAGTCCAAAAAAGAGAGAGCCTATAAAAGGCAGTTTGTGGACATTCACTAGTACTGGAGAACACAGAACCAGCTAGTGTATTTATTACATTGCCACCTGTGCTGAGGTGTGAGGGTTGTCAAATGTGTATTTTCAAGGAATGTTGGAGAAGGCACCGTTCCCTTCACAGGGATGGCAGTGACTCTCTCCACCTTTTGTTCTCACTGGTATATGTGTGTAAGAAGACAGTGGTCTGTGGATCAGCATTTT